ATAACCTGTTTGATAATTTTGATGGTTGATTATATTTTCATGAAAAAGCTTAAATCAGACTGCCGAGTGAAATGTTTAATCACTGAGATTTATACAGACATAATTTTGCTCATTAAATATTTCTACATTTTGTACTACTCAAACTTGGATTGATTTAATTTGGTTATTTATTCTCTGAAGAAGAGGCTTACGCTGTGTCACGAAACGTCAACAAAACTGAAAACTTAATTTTTCGGCTCATTGAGAAGATATAGTGTAATGAATATGAGAACTGTTAACAAAACTGTAAAAAATTCAACATTTCTTTGAATCATCAAACATTTTGATGTTGGAGTGAACAACTTCATCCATACTTTGTGATTAAGAGTAACTTTTAACTTGAAGAAGCCTATATATTAGTAGCTTACATTTTCACACATCATTGACCATATTATAATTTTTCCTTGATTATTAAAAAAAATGAAATGACAAATGACATCCGTTAAATTGAAAAGATTACTCCTCTCTAAACCTCCAGTTCCTGCTACACTTCGGTTGACTAATAAGCTTGTGAGAATATGTGTTTATTACACATGACAACGGTAAGAGACAAGATGTATTTAGACATATATATCTTTAAATAAGTACATATTAAAGCCTTCACTAACTTGAAATTACCTTGGGCCGATCCAAACTACGATGTAAAATTCAATACACTAGTGAGATAAAGAAGTCACTTACTGTTCTCCAGTTTACATTTCAGTGTATCGACAACATTCTCTTTTGTCCATTCCTAAACTAGCGTTGAGTAAATAATACCTTAAGCAAGTCAATAAAAAGCTAAAGGTAGTAAGTGGGACTTGTAGGTGTACTCTTGTACTCCCTGCCTGCTCTTCAAAAAGGGATGTTTTAGTGAGTGGATAGTGTATTCATGTGTGCCTTTTTTTGCTAATGCATAACCAGTTATACTTTTTCTTCACAGACTCTGTTCTAAGCAGTACAGACTAAACGAACAGAGTCGATTAAAAGAGAAGAATATGAAATTCACTCTTTTGGTGGGGATAGTCAAAGAAGCTAAAGCGTTGGTACAATTCATCAAGTTCAGGAACAGTAAAATCCCATTCTCTCTTATCTTTATTATTCGTTCGCTCATTCTGGTTTGAAAATTGTTAATGATTAAGTATATTGAACTTCGTCCTCAATTTGAACGTGGATACTCCAGTTTCAAGAACATTTTTACTACAACTAGTAAAGTAAACACTCACATCTGATTGATCACTGAAGGATGGGTAATGTCATATTTTTTCTATTCCATTTAATTTTGATCTAATTTTGTCAATCAGCATCTAAATGACTAAACAAACATGGCTATGATCAACACTCAATAATCAATCAGTAATAAATATCAAAATCCTACAGGAGGTCATTCAGTAATTTAATAATAACCTTTCTGACTGTGAAGCTTGATGGTATAGAATGAAATACGTCAGCTAACACCAGTTCCTACAAGATTTCAGGTATACCCTACTGGAGAGTACCAAATAACATGAAATTAGTTGTACAGTTTCATACCAACTACCTCCAATCAATTAACAATCTAAACGATTATATACTCACTTGGTAAAATTAATATAATTTGTAAGTTTGTAATCAAGAAAACACTAAAGCTAAATCAGAATAACAGAAAAATGTAATAATTCATGGATTCTATCCAACTGTATTTGTACGCACTATAAACAAATATTATAGTGAACAAGAACAGGAGCGGAGATTATCGGACATAGTAAACACACCACTACACAAAATCTCACTAAAATCTCAGAACCATATATCAGATGGTTAATTTGCAAAATATCAATCCATCATCTCAAACTTGACTGTTCCTTTTACAAATATCAGTCCATTGTCTCAGATTTCATTTTTCATGCATTTTCATACCAATTGCGTTCCGTTCCTGTTCTTTCCTTATCGATCTTCTACTGAAATACATTCTATGCCTGACTACCGTTATATACAACTTGTGTGGATATAAGTACACACCACAATATTACTTACTTACTTACACCTGTTACTCCTCGTGAAGGAGCATAAGCCTCTTACCAACATTCTCTATCCAACCAAGTAAACAAATATATAAACTATTAATTATTTGTAACCATTCAATCTTTTATGTATTCAATTTATACCTTGATTGTTAGTATAAACAATTACATAGTGATTAGTATATTTTTTACATTAATAAGAAATGACAATAATTAAACAACTAAATTAAAACAATCAATAAACACTGATCGGATGTTACGTCATAGTATTGATGACGTCATTTTTTTAAAAAAAAGAAAAAGGGTGGTGATGATGATATTCAAACTAATAAAGTATATTCCAATTCTATTTATAACATAAAATGAGACTTTAATAGAAAGTTTCATTTGATAAATACTCCAATTTTATTTATTCATAATACTCAAATGAGACTTTTTTAAAAAAAAAGAAAGGATCTTTATGTATAAATAGAACTATCATATTTGAAGAAGTAAATAGTAGAATTTTATTTCATTATTCATGTTAATTGAATAATGATAAATAAATAAAATGGTAAATTGTCATTATTTAAGAAAATGTTTATTGTTCTCTGTTTAAACGTGATACCACTCGGATAAGTGCTCGATGTTCAGCGTGTAATTTTTCAGATTCAGCACGTAATTTCTCAATTAACTAAAATATGCAAAAAAAAACAAAACAATATGATTGAGAAATAGAAAAGTATCAAAATGGGGTTATGGAGAATCTTAGATTTTGATTGAGATCATGAACAGATCAATGTTACTTATTTTCTTAATTACTTACGCCTGTTACTCCCAATGGAACATAGACTGACGACCAGCATTCTCCAAACCACTCTGTCCTGGGTCTTCCTTTCCAGTTCTGTCCAATTTTTGTTCATTCTTCTCATGTTTGTCTCCATTTCTCGGCGTAATGTGTTCTTTGGTCTTCCTCTTCTCCTTTGGCCTTGAGGATTCCATGTGAGGGCTTGCCCTGTGACGCAGTTGAGTGCTTTCCTCAATGTGTGTCCTATTCACTTCCAGCGCTTCTTCCTGATTTCGTCCTCCGCTGGGATCTGCTTTGTTCTCTCCCACAGTACGTTGTTGATAATAGTGTCTGGCCAACGGATCTGAAGTATTTTGCGTAGACAACTGTTAATAAACACCTGTATTTTCTGGATGATGGCTTTCGTAGTTCTCCAGGTTTCTGCCCCAAACAGTAGAACTGTCTTGACATTTGTATTGAAAATCCTGACCTTAGTGTTGGTTGACAGTTATTTTGAATTCCAGATGTTCTTCAGTTGTAAATATGCTGCTCTTGCTTCGCCGATCCGTGCCTTCGCGTACCCGCTCGGAGCCCCTCTGGGGCTACTGCCGGTCGCAAGCCCGGATAAGGGAGGAGAGTTGAGCATGGGGTTAGCGACCCCATCCCGTAGAAAACTAACTCTCTAAAAAACGCTAACCGGATCAATGTTAGACCACCATTAAAAACTTGGAAACATTGAACAACCGTTTCGTCCTGGTACAGAACTCCTCATCAGTGCGCATCCACGATCTCACATGCGGGTTTCGAAACCAGAACCCTTGACCTCTCATGTGAACAATTAACTTCTAAATCGATGAGCCAGCATCTAATGGCGTTAAGGTTTAACTTCAATCAATCTATTGACTTAGGTGGGTAACTGCCCCACACCTAGATAAGTCACAAGTAGATTTATAGTCTGGTTTGTTAAATAAAATGATTCATTCCGATTATTCTAATAAATAAACATAATTCAAGCAATATGAATACAGGTTCATTTTTATTGTTTATACTATCATCTAAATTCATAATGTCAATAACACTATAGTTTGATGAGTAAACCTAACAGGAAACCAGGAAATCAACTAAGAAATAAGAAATTCTTCTTTAATTATAATAATATCTACTAATTCCTGGTAGATACCTCAAATAAAATCTACTATACAAAATTCATTATACATACATAAATCATGTACAATATGCTTATACTTTAATTTATTATAATATGAAAGTAATTGTAGAATTGAAATTTATGTATATTTAACTATATAAACATTAACCATCTAAAATGATGACAAATTTCGTATGTTTCTTTAAGTACATCACAATTTTGGTAAAGTTTTGTTCTCTGAGCTGGATGGTTTGATCGCCTCAAACTTGGAATTCTTCGCAACACTAGAGTCATCACTCAAAACTTCCAAAATAAATGAAGAAACGCAACAAGAAATAAGACAAACTATAGTAGCGCTAACTTAACGGATGAAGGGCAATAACCATTTGACTTCAGAAGAACAAAAAGTAATATAGAAACTCAGAACTAGAAGAGATATTGTCATTGTTCCAGCTGACAAAGGATGCACCACAGTGATTATGGAAAAAGAAAAATGCATCAAGAAAGCCGAGGAACTACTTGAGGATAAAAACACATACAAACCGATAAACATAAATCCAGTCAAAAATTTAGACAACCGAATCTTAAAGACTTTAAACAAGCTCATCAAAGCAAGAGAAATAACAAACCAGGATTGATGGAGAATGAAATCCAATGGACCAGTGCTTCCTCAATTCTAAGGCAGGCCCAAAAAAAAAACACAAACCAAACATCTCATACAAATAAACCATCCAGCTCAGAGAACAAAACTCCATCACAATCATCCACTTGTGCTACAAATCTTCTCTACTTACTGAACATTACAATTTTATCTGACTTACTTTAAGTTCTTGTTCACATTCTGATATTCTTCTTTCCATTTTCTTTAAAATTAAACAAACAAAATGAAAACATTTACAAATGTGTTATCATATTTTCACTGATAACTAAATGAAAAATACTTAATTATAAAGTTTAATTTCACAAAAACTAAAGAAAAACTAGTCATGCTGTTAGTTTACACATAAAATATAACTCGGTGAAAGTATAATTTATGGATGAACCAATCAGATATAAGATAACAGGTTTTGGATTTTGGCGCGAAATTCATTCACTCATTTGACTAAATACCATTTTAACATTATAGCTGATATCAGTAGCATAAACTATAGTACTATTCGTTTTGTAGAACCTTATATAATTCGTATAAATAACATTTTTGACTAAACGAATGCAGAACTATGTTACTGTGTTTTAAGTTCATTTTTGTGAGAAAGGATGCTTATCTAACAAAATAATTAAAGACTGTAGACAATCAAAACTTCCATGTTTTCCATGGTGGTCTAGCTTCAACTAACTCATGCTCTCAACTATTGAAATTACTAGAATCTCTACGAAACCCCTTCTGATACTAATCAAAACTACATTAAATTTGCACTTTACAACAGCTCTTTAGAAAACATTAATAACTATATTTTAGATTAGAACTGATTACAGGTATAGACAAATTAGTTATGACACAAAAATGAAGTGAAACTAAAGAGTTAGGAAAGTTGAACAAACCAATCTCTGACCTTAGTTTATTTAAATTTTAAATTTCTGAAAAAGACAAGAAATACATCTTGAGATTCATAAGATATTTTTCTGTTTAAATTAGAAACATATTTTAAATGGAGTTGTTGTCCACACTGAAACGGAACCCAGTTGGACTACAGTTATCCTTTTATTCTTGAATAACTTGTGGATTTATAAATAGTCACTTATCGACTTCAAATTTGTTGTCTACCTCCAATTAATGTGGTGGAACATAACTTTCGTTAAGAAGATTGCCCGATAATAATATAAGATTTTCTGTAAGTACATAAAACCTAGATCTCTTTCAACGACTCAATAAACTTCCTGTGTTACCAATACGATAAGTTGAGGCATTAAGTAACCTTTAAACAACATGAACAGTGGTGCAACTTTCTTCGAGACTGTGGTGTATCAATGATGCATACTGTTTTTGTTTATAAACTGAAGTTTACTGTGAACTCATTTGGAAATCGTTAGATGAATTTACAACGTACTCGAAAAATGCTCATTTAATTTGGTTGAAATCATTCATTTAAAGATAAGCTTTATCATACGTAAACAAGTAGATAACTGATGATTTTTAAAAATTGGACATAAACTGAAGATGACCACCTACCTACACATGGTCATATTCGAAAGCATACACTGATTGTAGAGTATATAGGAATTACAGAAAACAAAACAGTTTATTTTTACAGTTTCAGGCTTCCAACGAGAATAAATCTAACAACAGATCGTTATAGACAGAAATGAATAGTGACTATCAGTGAGATACAGGACGTGCGTTTCGTCCTATTCGGGACTTGCCTGATAGATATGCCTGCATCCTAGAGTTCATATTCACTCCAGGACTCGAATCAATTGCCGTTCGCTTCAAATTCCATCTCTTTATCCACTTGTGCACTGAGTCCAGTTAGTTACTGGCTCCTGCGATGGGGTAGAGTTCAATAAATTTGTATTGGTTGTTTGAATCCTTCTATTGATGTTTAGAAGTGAAACTGATTAGTCTCTCTTGGCATATGCGCGTTCTGTGAGGATATACAAACAATACAAATGAATTAAGATCGTTTCCAGTTGAATAAATACTGTCTCACATAACAGCTAATGATAATCAATTTTAAGTCAAACTGAGTGATGACAGAAAGTACTTAGTGATATAACAACACAGCTTGCGATTCATTTCAAGAAAGTAGTCATAATTTTACAATTGTTAAAAATACTTAAACTTGACCAAACCACCTTGCCAATCCTTTTAGATTCTTAGCATCATATCTTCTAAAAGAAAATTTCTAAACTTCAAATAGTTTCACTTACCCTTTGTTCAACCTCACTAGGTCTTCGTCTACCAACTGAATTTTCCAAGGCGTCTTCTAATTCTTTCAGTTCTTTCTGGGCTGCTTTCACCTCTTCACGTAGACCATTTGTTAGCAGTTTTTCTTCTTCATATAACTGTTTGTAATTAGGTGTTTTACTTGCAGCACTACTCAAATCCTATCAGAGTAAACACAATGAAACAACGAATAAACCTTCGTTGAAATACTAAAACCATTAAACTGCGAATAATTCCATCTATTGAGGAAGGGTAGACGTTAGAAAGAGATAAACAATTGCATACTGAAGAAAGTATACTTTAAACTGCTCCTTGCTAACACTAGTCATCAACAAATAAATCTGCACTTTCTTGTTCGTATATATATGTTATTAAGGTAAGAAGTGAAATCACGCTAAACACAATTATCTGTTATTGCATACAGTACTCCACTATTTCAGATATAGAGCCATAATTCTTTACCACCTTAGTTATTTCCCAAGGTTTCTGGCGTTTTGTTTTTAAGTCCATCTCGTTAGCTTTTTGTTAATTTCACTGTTATTGCCCTAATGGTTCGTAACTAGTAAGATACGATATATCAGAGACACTTTCTTTCCTCCATGCTTGAGATACTATCATTGACACGCGAAATCGACAAGATGATGACAGTATTGGAGAATCTCAGCTAATCATATACTCTGACAAGTCAACCACTACAAGAAGCCATGCGACTACGCAATATAACGTTTCCCGATAGTTTTACGTTTTCAAAATATCAAACAATCAAAACATAATCAATAGTTTCATCGATGGAACACAGCTGAGATGAAATGAAATCTATGGTGAGTCGAAAAGTCAGTTCTTAAAAGTTTGTGAAGTTTATGTTTGTCAGATTTTCTATTATTGGTCAGTTAACATCAGTATTTATCCCGTCCATTAAAGTTGATTACGTCACACATTCTTGTCACATTAAGCTTGCGACTGAACGCCAGTTTTATTTCCTTAAATCTATTCATTTCCGTAATTTCTTGATAATTGACTGGATTAATATCTGAACATTCTTCTACTTATTAGTAGGTAGTCGAGATGTTAGTTTTTGTTTGTTCATACATCAAACTATGAAGTAAACTTCTAACACATTAAGAAGTTTTAAATTAAATTCATTTTATTAGAAAATACTTAGTTTTATAAGATCAAAAGTCATGATATATAGCTTACCGAATTCCATGATGAACTAGTACCTATTCCACCAACTGTATAATTTGTATTTGAACCAATTTTATTTGGTGACCTACGTGGATATTGTGGAAGTCCTGAGTAAGATGAAGTTGATGTACCAGTTACACTACAACTGCTGCCTACACCAACACTGACAATACCACTCCCACTATTACTTGAAAGACCTTGTGTACGTGTTAAATACCGTGATGGCTTTGGGGTATCCGTCTAAAGTAATAGATATTTATACAGATAAATAAATAAGTATCAGAAGGATTTTTGTGGACATTATAGTAATTTCAGTCGTTGAAATCATGAGTCAGTTAAAGCTAGACCACCATGGAAAACCTGGTGGGACTCCTCATCAGTGCGCATACACGATTCCGCCTCGCAAGATTCGAACCCAGGACCTATCAGTCTCGTGCGCGAGCGCTTATATAAACAAACGTAATGTATGTCAATACTTCATATTTTAAACTTTTTATCTGCGGTTGTACAGTGTAATCTATTCCCTGTACATAAAAATTATCAAAGTGAAGAAGACAGCTATACTCCAAAATAATACATTTCTATGGTGGTTATTACAGTCCAATTATTTTCGTACATTTAAAAAAGTGTACCATGCTCCATTCGACAAATAGTTTTAATGCACATTATTAGTTGCCTAAATGATCCAAAGAACTCTATTCTGAAATCAATTTAGAAAATTAACTTTCTTCTAATGTCAGATGCAATTAATTTAAATAAAGCCATAACAAATACTGATGCAGAATAATATGAATTCATTATATTTCGTAGTTTCTCATCAGCTGCTTATAACCAAATATATTTTAGAATTTTACATAGAGGTAAGAAATAGTATGAAGCAATCAATATAAGTGAATGTGAAGAATAGGGCAATAATAACTATAAATATATATACAAGAGCAGGTCAAAGGTTATTTGCTGTTAGAATCAAGGAAACACTAAGGATGGGTGACGGTAGTCGTTGAATGGAGTTCAGAGGCATTAATGCTATTTTTTATTTTTCCCTAAATTCTTATTCCTTTTATTAAAATAGTTTATACATAATTTCATTTGTAAATGCACAAATTATCAATGGATTGTGAAATCTACTTTTATTAAAACAAATTTCCTACAAATGCATTATTGGTTAGTAATCTAGTACTCAATACTTGGTAATGGTAAAACAAATTGAATTTGTTTTCGAACAGAATAGTGAATCTACTGGTATCATTGAACTTTAATAACACTATATAATACAATATTATCGAATTGATTCTACTATAATGGGTTAGTTGAACGGCACAAAGCTCAGTATAATAATTAGAGCACCTAAGTTAGATCCTAGATATGGAATAGTACTATCAATAGGATTCAAACGATACTTCATGTCGATTCCAACTATTCGTTAAAGTTTTCTATGTGAAAGCTACTTCAGTGTTACGTATAATTTCCGCCGAAAATCGTTACTATTAAACTCTTCATATTTAATGATTAGTTTACAATAAATCTAAACATACGATTACTAGTAAACTCACTCTACCTAACTGAGATATTATGATTATGGATGTAAACAGATAAATAAATAGTCAAATTATACCTTCACATACACTACTTTGAGTTAATTTGATATCAATGACCTGTATTTATTCAGTAACTAGTCAATTGAGTTTAACGGAAGCTGATAAATTTTTATTGCATTATGTATGTCATTTGGTTTCTAAGTCGTAACTTCATGATCACTTATGATCAGTAAAGCTGAAGAGCCTACTGAAAACTTTTACTTCTCTTGAGAATGAATTATGTACTTTTCAATATTTTACTAAGATACTAATCATACTTCTTGTTATAAAAATTAACTATGATCGTAAATGGAAATTATACAGGTAACATATAAGCTAATTATCCTTTATCTTTTCAACAAGATCATTTACTTAAGCTGTATCTTCATATTTATAATTGTATGATAAATATATGCCTATAGAAAGATAGAAAAGATTGTATCATAAACTGATTCAAAACTCCTATTATTAAATGAGGTTACGTAATAATCAAGAGGTAAGGGAAGAATGGAAGGATAAAAGTAATTTACCGGTCAAAATTATGAAAGATAATTGTCTATTTAACAGATATCAAGTAAATCATTTTATTCAATGACACAATCGGTTATTTTATTCATGAAGACTCAGTAAATAATTAATCCAAGAATTCTATATAGAACTATTGCGTTTTCTTAATCAAGATCAATGAGACGATGAAGTCCTAAAGTATCATACTGCAAGACAAAGGAACTGGAAAAAAATGAGTTTTATGTTTGATTTATATATACTTTAAAGAATTTTACTGGCTGTGACAAAAAGAAATTTCTCACGAACAGAGTTACAGCGAATTTAAGATACTCCGTTTAGGAAAAAAATGTCATTTCATTTTCATTCGGACATACAGAGATAGCCTTAATTTTATTTAAGTAATAATCATTATGGATTGAAGCTATCTGGAGTACTATTGAACAGATCTTTTATTTATGATAAATATCATACAAACATTTCGTCCAAATGTCCTACCATCGCTGACGGAACTGAGCAGCGTCAGGAGATAGAATGTCATCAACGATCCGAGTGAATTATTGCCACGTCGTGTCGTAGATAGATTGGAGTTAGACATGAAGATCAATAAGTCGGGTTTCAGTAATTCAAAGATCAAGTGATCAATACAAAACCTAGAGTCCCTAGTTCCAAACACCATCAAGGTTTTGGTGTAGTGTACGAGAACACAAGTGGGGACAAACGAATGCATTTGAACACAAAATTATACAACATGTTAGTAAAATCTGAGAACCATACAGTAAATATTTAATTGCAAAATATTAACCAAATGTCTCAAACTTGGTTGTTCCTTTTGAAAACATCAGTCAACCGTCTCAGACTTCATTGTTTTTTCGTTTCTACACCAATCATTCTTTGTTTTCACTCTCTTTTCTTCGATCTTTTTAACCTTCTATCACCAACCATTTCACTTTCGATTGATGATACATACTACTTATACCTGTCGATATCAGTAGCACAGACCATAATGACTGAGAAGTTTGGAACTATGTCGAAATAACTCCATAGTACCCCGTTAATCTATACTAAATATTAGTCCACATTCTAGACTAATTTAAAGAGAATTATCAGAAAGCGTTTTGTGGAGATTTTAGGAATTTTCACTGATTGAAATCATGAGTCACTTGAATCTAGACTACCATGGAAAACCTGGAAGCACTGGACGGCCGTCTCGTCCTAGTGTGGGACTCTTCAGCAGTGCACACCCACGATCTCGCACCCCGCGAGATTCGAACCCGGGACCAATCAGTCTCACACCAGGCGCTTAACCAACTAGACCACTGAGCCGGTCAGTATCCAATGGTGTTAATGTATAACTTCAAACAATCCACGAAGTTGCGCGAGACTGGTAGGTCCTGGGTTCGAATGCTGCGGGGTGCGTGATCGTGGGTGCGCACTGCTAAGGAGTCCCATACTAGGATGAGACGGCCGTCCAGTGCTTTCAGGTTTTCCATGGTGGTCTAGATTCAATTGACTCATGATTTCAATCAGTTAAAGAGAATTACTTGAAAAATATTGATTAAATGCGTAATTTAAATGATATTTTATTTATTTATTTATTTATTTATTTATCTGTTTACAAGTTTAGATGAATGATTTATGTATGAAAAAAGAGATGATTGAAAATGTAAAGGTGAACTAAGTGAAATGTTAATGAATGAAGGATTTAAATGATGGAATTAGATCTACTTTAGATTGATGACATAACAAAACAATTGACATACTAAATATTTCTCATTATCAATAAATGATTACATTTTGACGCATATTTATATATAACCTTACAATACTAATGTATATTATTGTATAAATAACCAAAATCCTGTCATATAAATTAACTTGATAAGTTTGCTTGATGTGTATGATTTTATTATTATTCTATTCATATATGAATTCTGTTGATAATAAGTTATATTGATTATGGTAAAAATAGTTCAGCTATCTATAGAGATATTTGTTCATACTACTTTAAGTATACTATTCAAAAGTATTTACCTGAATTATTTTAAGTATTATTTCAGATATTCATAAGAAATGTGATAACTGTGTCATGGATACACACTAATGAAGAGTCTCATACTAAAACAGATATCTATTCTAACTAGGTTTTTAATGGTTAACTAAATTGGATCGTTTCGTTATTTTATCAGAAATCATTATTGATACAGTTCGACATTATTTATAAGTGATCACTTTTGAAATTATTCAGAAACAAAGGAAACCGATCATTAAACAACCTAAAACTTTTCACTGTTGTTATACTACGAAATTTATAGATAAACCAATCAGATATAGGATTACAGATCTTGGATTTCGGCGCGAGATTCAATCACTCATTTGTCGAGATAACATCTTGGCATTTTAGCTTATGTCATTTCGTGTTGAAAGACCGTAAATCTATTTCCTAACCCTAACCATCAATTGTGAACCATAATCCTTGTTCTTCAAAACTCCGGTTCAGTGGTCTAGTAGCTAAGCGCTCGTGCGCGAGACTAATAAGTCCCGGGTTCGAATCCCGCCAGGCGGGGTCGTGTATGCGCACTGCTGAAGAGTCCCACAATAGGACGAGCCGTCCTCCCAGTGCTTTTAGGTTTCCCATGGTGGTCTAGCTTCGGTTGACTCATGATCTCAGCTATCGAAATTGCTTCATAACCCTCATTTAGCCCTAGTAAGTCGGTAAATACTCTCATAATCGCTCAAAGATCGTCCATAAATTATATTCTCACCACATTTTTCAGTGCTAGATAATATCTTTCACAATAAAAGTCACTAAATAAAGAAATAAATTTCATCAGTGAAAAAACTTCTTGTTTCCCAGAAATCGTTTTGAGTAAATATGTAAAACTGTTTACATTGAGCTTTTTATTGTCATCAATGTAATGTAACTCTAGTGATTGTTGTACACCATAATAATATTAACATACTATATACATTTCATTTATTAAAGATTAATAGCTTCACCATTTATTACATGGCATGTAATTGACTGATGTGCTGATTAAGACAAAATGAAAGTGATAGCTTAGAGTTATTTAACTTCTCTTACTCAATATCATTCTAAGTTTATTGATCGATTTCTTTTCTTTTATTTATAAATCGATGTAAACTATTCACAGTTAT